GTTCTTTCATTGTCACCAGAACACATTTATTAATTCTTAATTATTGAATTTTTCCCGGCACGTGAGGTTCTGTTTGTTCTGATTCAGAGGTAAATAAAACATGTAGTGTGTGTGTGTGTGTGTGTGTGGGGGGGGGGGGGGGGCTTACAGATAATAAGAGAAGCAGGTGACATTTTTACAGACTCCTCTGAATGCAACACGTAATCAGAGAAAGTTCCCTTCAGTTCTTACAGAGTGTTTAAGGTGTACAGGTGTGTGTACAGGTGTGTGTACGCAGGTGTGTGTACGCAGGTGTGTGTGTACAGGTGTGTGTGTACAGGTGTAAGGTGTGAATTGAGGATGTGTTAGGTTTAGGGTTAGGTATGTCCTGGTAATGGTTAGGCTATAGACATGAATGAAAAATGAATGGAAGTCAATGCAAAGGCCCCATAAAGATAGCAAAACAAACCTGTGTGTACAGGTGTGTACTGGTGTGTGCAGGTGTATTGCATGTGTGTGCATGTGTGCACTGACGCTGCAGGGTCCAGGGATCTTTGCTGTCCTTGTTCCTGCTGAGGTCCTGGACTCTGAGGATGAAGACGTAGGGCCCGTCCTCCCAGCTCTCTGCCACCAGGCTGAAGGTAGAACGAGACGACGACTGAAACAGAAACCAAACAGCCGAACTTCATGAATGAATCCAGCTGATATTTCCTGCTGCTCCGGCTCAGATGATCCAACTCACCTGGTTAGTAGCTCCACTTGCAGCAACAGGCTGAGGAACAGGAGATAAATCAGAGAGTCGGACGTGAAGGTGAGTTTTGTATGAAATTCAGACACTCAAGGGTTTGAACAGTTTCACAACAACTCCACGTGAAAGCAGAGTGAAAACGCACCGACAGACGCCGAGCTGCGATGAAGAACATCTTCTAACCTAACGCCAGGATCTCACCGAGCTGTGACTCGTGAAAACAAAACTGAGACCGATTGGAGACAAAAGAAAACTGAAGACAAATCGAGACACTTTGTGTCAAAACGGTGAGAAATGTGAGTTTTTAAAAACGTCTCGAATAATTCTCAGTTTCATGGAAACGTGTTGAAAGAACCGACCCAGAGGAGACGGAGTCTCAATTTCCAGATGTTCTCAGTTTGTCTCCAACTGGTTGCAGCTCAGGGAGATCCAGGCTCGGCTCTTTAAAGCGACGTGAAAGTTCTGGACGGTCGTAGAAACTAACGGAAGACGACCGTCAGTTTTCTGTTCGTCGCTTTTAAAACGGTTGATACAAAACTTTGTTTTCAATTTGGAGAGTGTTCAAGCGGACGTTGTTGTTCGTTGTTATTTTATACATTTTTTAAATAAGATTTTTTCTTCCTTCTGCACCCTTTTCATTCAATGTTTTTTTCTTTTTGATTAATTCTTCGTCCTCTTCCCTGCATGGATGACTTGTCCCGACCACCGGAGGACGTGTGGGACAACCAAAGACCTGCAGAGTGTCCTCGGAGCCGCTCTTCCTGCTTCGCTCCCTCTGAAATCTACCGTATGTTCTGGCGTATAAGTCGCTGTGGGAGCTCACACGGGAGGACTCGCTGTTACAGTTCTTCAAAATTTAACAATTAACACTTAAAAACAATTATCTGTTTGCTCGACATTACAGCAAAGTTGTGTCTCTGTTGAACTTTTTCCTTAAAAAATAAACTTTAATGGTCAATGCTTGGGGGGGGGGGGAGCAGCGCAGGAACAGCATATACACCTACCAGCAGTTGTCAAAAGCCTAGAGGACCTGCTCGCTCCTCCAGCGGCTGCAGACGGTGATGTTTACTCTGGTTCATGTCAGTATGAACAAACGTTTAAAGCGTCAGTCAAAAATCGCGTCATGAATATGGAAAAATAAACGTAGGAGTCGCAGGACTGACAAATCTGTGCAGAAAAACTGTGACTTATACGCCGGAAAATATGGAAATCTCTTGGAGCAGATCTGAGATCAGCAGTTTACAGGAACAACGAACAGAAATCTGCTCGCTGACTCGAACCTCCTTCACGAGCATCTGAAGCAACAACTAGACATGGATGATGTTTGATGCGCCCGTGTGTGTGTGTGTGTGTGTGTGTGTGTGTGTGTGTGTGTGTACCATTGGTTGAATAGCATCTCTCCTCCTCCTCCCTGTAGTGTTCTAAAAAAAATAAAAAAAATAATCAGTGTTTTGACAGATCGTTTTTCAGAGGCAAAGGAAACAATCAGAGTAAAAAATGTGTTTTATTTGTTGAATATTGTACAAAGCAGCAAAAAGGCAGATAAATACTTGACTAGAGGACAAATCAGAAATAACGTGATGTGGAATTAACGGATTCACTGACGTCAACTGTGTTTTTAAGGAGTTGAGGTGACGGAGCAGCTCCAGAATCTGTCAAAGTGTTTCTGACTCTGGATGATGTCATCAAAACTTCTAATGATTGAATCAGAGCTAATAAACGAGTTGAGACACTGATGGATGGTTGCAAGGATCAAAGAAAGTGGAGTCGTTTCCTGATGAACAGGTACTGGACTGCTGGGTCCATCAGACGGACGTGAGGACACGTTAGAGACGTCGGTGAATTATGAAACATTCAGACTTCTGAAAACTAAAAACTCATAAATCCAAAAGTCTGAACTCTTCCTGCAGGAGAACAAACACAGCCTTTCATTCTGCTTTTATTTACATCAAGGCTGATTTTGGATTTCCATCAAATAAAACCTGAAGCAAAAAAAACATCTAAAGTTTCATTTAGTAGTTCAAGATGGATTTTAAAGAGAGAAAAATATTAGAGTCCAACTTTCCTTTCTCTTAAAGACACTAGAAAATATTTTTATACCTTACAGTTTGAGACTTCAATCCTCCATCTTACTCTGTCCTCTGTCCTCACTCTGTCCTCTGTCCAACTACCTCCATGTCCTCTCTAACTGCATCCATACATCTCCTTTGTCTTTTTCCTGCAGCTGCATTTCTAACATCCTTCTACCAGTATACCCACTGTCCT